GGCCCTGCCAGCCTCCGCCATGAATGACTGGATCCAGACTGCCCGCTCTGAACTCCTTCCGCCTGTTGCGTAGTGGTCGTGTCTAACGTGGCACTGTAGATACCCCCGGCGCGCTCCGCGCCTGCGCGCGTCGCGCATCCTGAACGCGTCCACCACGAAGCCAATGGGCCGACGCCCTCCGCCTGGCTGCGACGACCGCGGTCGGGAGGGGGAGAGAGGGGGGCTCGTCACCCGGGCCGGCAACCCCCCGAGCATCTCCGCCTTCGCCATGGCCTGACCGAGCGAATTGCGACACTCATCTGGGAGATGCGCGCTGCCCCTGGGCCCCCTGTTCTTGACGCCCGAAGCCGCCTTGGCTTCGAAAAAACGCGCTGCTTGTCTGACCTCGTCGCGCCCCCATTGCGCCGCGGGAGGCCTATCATCGACCTCGCGCAGCCCTGGCCCTTCGCCGAGGGAACGCTCCCCCAGGCCATGGTTCCCGCATGCCCTGCCACAGTCGCGCGTCCAACGTCGTCGCGCGAGATGCGACGCCGGCAGTTGGGCGCAGATCAGCTGGCGCCCACGTCGCCGGCAGTTTGCTCCAACAATGAACCTTGGGGTCCTCCGCGCCGATGGCTCTTGCAAGCAGCCTCCTCGGCGCTGTGGCTCTTTCCACTGAGTGCTGGCGCGCCAGATGCGTTGCTTTGCCCGCGGCCGTCCAAAGTCGACGTCGACGCCAGCCGCCCCCCCCCCCCCCCCCCGCACCCAGCGCCATTCACGCTGCAGTCGGCATGGGAAAAACATCACCCACGCGCAGGCTCTCGCCTTTCAACTTGTCGAGAGCGCGAGGCCGTTGCCGGACGAACTGCGAATCGCGATTCCATCTCCGTCTCAGCGCGCGCAAATTCCACGAGGGCCGCGGGCGCTCGTCGCTAATTTCTCGATAACTTGTCTCCTTCATCCCCGCGCTCCCAGGCCTTCCTGGCCACCGCTATCAATCTGAATTGAGGCGCGCGAGCTTGCCGCGCCCACTTGAAGACGGCCCCCCATGAGTGAGCTCGAAACAATCGCCCAGCTCCTCCTTGTCTGCGAGGCCCGCCCACTTCCCACGCCGCCAACTCAGATCACTAGAACCATGCGCACGAGTGCAACATCTAGTCGCAACTTGGAGGCTGTCTCGGACGCCGGCAAAGCACTCCGTCGGGCGCATCTCCTGCGTCTTGATCCGCCGCTCCATCGCCGCTTCTCGCCCCGCTCCCAGCGCAAAGGCCGCCCGTCAGTGCGTTGCCAAACTGAGCCCTGCTAGCCTCTTCGCTCACGTAGCCGGGCTCCTAAAGTGCTTTGAAATGACAAAAGTGAACGGCCGCGTGGCATTGCAATCGCGGCCAGTTGATCTTTCGCCACGCTCGAGCTCTCTAGCTCAAGTGAGACCATGTTTCGATCGGTCCCTCATGGCAAACGGGCGCCCTGTCCTCTTAAGCAGCTCAGCGCGCTGCAAGATGGTCCACCTGTCCGAATCAATGTTGTTTCTGCTCTGGCTGCCAGCGATAGGCCATGTCGAGCCAGGCAAGAAGCCTCTAGGAAGCACGCGCCACACCTACTGAGGAGCTCCACTCGAACTCGGCGGGTGCACGCGCCCCGTCCTCGGTGGATCTGCGGAGCCAATGTAGTCCCCAACTCCTACTCCAACTCCCCCCGAGGCCACATGCTGCCCTTGCCGTTGTCGAGCTGGCGGCAAGCAGGAATGCCGGCCCTGGCGTCGTAATCGAGCAAGTGTATCTCCAATGGGTGCATTCAGCACCGCGTGCTCCTGAGCGAGTAGCGCGTCTGCCTCCGCGCCCCCCTCGCCCACCTCCTTGGCGATCGTCGAGACCTTTGCCGCATCTCTGCGTGCATGCGTGAAACTTTTGGCCACGACGTTTCACTTCATGACCTCGTTGGCGCCAACCTGGTCGGGGCAAACCGGCGTTGACAGCCCTGTCCCACGCCGCTTGCACCTTCTCTGATCGCCGAGACCTTCCAGCACATCCTGCGACGCTGGGCCTCCTTGCAGGGGCGATCCTCCTATATGTTGGGCAAATGCGCGGCGGGCGACAAGCCCCCCGAAAGGGGGCGACCCTGACCACTCGAGCTTGCCACCGGGGCTCGAGGAGCACCCCGCTGGCTGCAGTGTCGTAGGTAGAACCGCCATACATCCGCACAGGATTAATGTAGTGTGCGCACTCTAAGTTGACGACGCCATACCTTCACCGAGAGACATCAAGGGCACCCTTTGAGTTGATGGCGCCATACCTCCACCAGAACACCTGAACAGGGATGCCGAAGCCGACGTAGACGCGATATGTCCTAGCGGCCCCACCTGTATGGCATGCATGGACGCGACGGCATAAAATGTTTAGACCATGTGCCCCCTGCTCCATCTGCGACAACCTTCCTAAGGATTGTGCTGGGGCTGGGGCCTGAACCTTGCGTGTCTTTGTTCGATCCGCTGCTGCTGCAAATTCATATCGAAATCGCGCCCTGGTCTCTTTGATGCACTTGATATCCTCTTCGTCAGCAACCCCTCAAGCTTTAGGCCCTGGTCCTCGTAGATTCGGGCGACGCCTTCATCACCTGCGACTGGGATATGCGCAACTGGTGCTGGTGCTGTTGGTGCCTTTGGCATGGGATCATCGCAGGGCACATGCACAGGCTGACGCTATCATTATCGGTCCGTTCAACCTGCTTGCGTGCCCTCTCGTTCTGCAGCCGTTGCTTGAAAGCCTCCAGGGCCTGCCCAAGGGCGAGCGCAGGTCTCTTTGAGCGTTTTGGGCGCACCACGTTTTCAGATGACTTGCAGCATGCTTGCGAGTCCATCACACAAAGCAACGGCTGGATTGCCTTCCTGGCCAGCAGGTCTCGCGCAGGAGCGCATTCGTCTTCGCCTGCTCCAGCTTCTGCTGCCGCTGCACATGAGACTCGAGGAAATGTTTGAGGATATGCTTTTCAGCATTTCTCGCCTATGCCTGCTGGAGCTCCTCCTCTCTCACTCTTTGTGTGTCTGCCTCTCTCTTTCTCTTTGAGTCGCTGCTCTGTTTTCTCTATGTTATTGCGCGTGCCTGCCAGCCTCTGGCAAATCTGGAATGATGTGAGCTTCACGAAGTCCAGGGGCTGGTCGACCTTTGCCCAGACCCCACAGCCTTGTTCCACAGCACCAAGATGCTCTGCACTTGTTCTGGCCACAACTTCCGATCATCTCTGTGGGCCGTGATCATGGTGTCGAGCAGCGCCTTTGCTTCTGCTGGTTCCACTGTCGGCTCGGCAGGGGGCTTTGGCTCTTCTCGATCACGTGGGTTTTTTGGTGGCCCATCCCACCACCTGTTATTGCACCACGGAGCCGAATCTCTCCCACCTCGTTCCCATCCTGATCGTCGGACAGGTTGCTTCTGTCTCTGCCCACCCATCCTCCCTTTGGGGCCCTCGACTTCGTGATTTGTTCATGACGTCGACCCCCAGAGGTCTCGACCCATTCCCTGGGCTTGGTTTCTCATCCTGAGTCGTTTTTCGACGGCCCGGAAGCCCGACGAGGGGCCCCCGAGACCGAAAAACTGGGGAAAAATCTCCCGTCGTGGCTTCTGTCATGGCCCCGGGGGGGTCTGGGTCTCACGGCGCAGGCAGGACGAGCGAAGGCGCAACTGGCGAACGCGGGGACACCCGCGGCGCCGTGCCCGCAGGAGGCCACGTCGGGTGCTCTTCGCCGCTGTCGACGTGGCCGGCCCAAGCGAGCCGCGCCGGAGAGGCACGCGCGCAGGCCCAGGCAGAATGCCTTGGCCGACACGGCCATGGCCGGAGGAGGGGGAGGGGGAGGGCTCTTCCGCGGCGTTGAGGGCACTGGATGAGGAACCCTTGGATAAGGAAGCCAGGGTCTGGAAGACGGTGAGACTCCAACCGGAGATTGGCCACGGATCTCACCGCCGCCCTCGTCAGATAAGGAACATGTGCACTCACGGGCATGCATCATTTCACCATGTCCCTGTAGCCTTCTTCACTTCCTGCGACGCCCGCCAGGCGTAAGCTTTTGGCCCTATGGCCTGTGTCGGCGCTGTCAGGCGAGTGTTTGCTTGCAGACGCTCCAATCCCAATGATTAAAAGTCCGCTGAACGTCGAAAGAGGATTCGGTCGCGTGTCTGCTGCTGTCGATATCATACATGATATTACGTGTCTCCCACCAGCAGGCGGCACCTGGGGCGAGTGCTCTGGGAGTTGCCTGGCTCTTAGTTTGATCACCCCCCAAGGCCAGGCTCGGTGCATGTGGATGGTTCTCTTCTTCCTCCCTCCGCCCTCCTGTCCTCCTCTGCCCCCCGTCTTCCTCTTCGGGGCAATCCCCCTCCAACCACCGACTACTTTTGCGCCCTCCACGGTGGCAGGGCGCCAGCGGGCGGGTGGGGGGTCGGCTGCGGCCGCCGTCAAGGCTACAAGCGCAAACACCACCGCAGGCAAGCGGAACGCGACTACGGTGATGATATCTGATGTAGGGAACCATTGGCTAAGGGATTCAAGGTCTGGATGACGCTGGAACTCCAATCGTTGAATTGGCCGTGGATACCACAGCCGCCCTCATCAGATTAGAAATCCTCCAGGGTCTGAAGCCTCGTGTGGACAACAATCCTCAACGAACGCCCCCGCCATGGTTTGATCTCTCCCCCCGTGGGGCAATGGCCCCTCGAAGGGGATCGCTGCGTCGCCCTCGCCCCTGAAGCCAGCCGCAACAGCAACGGGAGGAAGAGACGAAGCAGAAGAGAGGGATGAGGCTGAGCATGGCTCCTGGGGAAACCAAAAGGTACCGATACTCCTACTCCCTGGACCTCTCCCAGGGCGCGTTCTGACCAGGATTTCGAGGCGAACCCAGCGGTGGCGACGAGGGCCTCCTAGGAGGCTCAACAAGGGGCAAACGGGGGAAAGGTAGCGGCTTTAGGTACCTTTTCCTCTTCTGAGGGAGGAGGAGACGAAGCAGAAGAGCGGGAGGAGGCCGAGCATGGCTCCTGGGGCGAAGTGCCGCAGGTGGAACACCAGGAACCCCTGGAAGCCGAGGCGCCCGTCCGCGTGCGGGCCCGCCTCCCGCCAGAGGGAACGCAAGCGCCCAGCGGAGATGCCGAGCTCCCGCGGGACGCTGCCGCACCTGCGCTCGGGAAGAGAGCCCCGACGCTCAGATAGAGGCCTCCTCGATGGGGTCGGAGAAGATGGGCTCGAAGGATCGCGCCGCATCGATAATGCATCGCCGATGTATCGGCGATGCATCGGCGATGCATCGCCGACGTCGGCGGTGCATCGGCGACGCCGGCGTGGGGCATCACGGTCTCCACATCGAGCCGCATCGCCAATGCATTGGCGATGCGGCGATGCGGCGCGAACCCCAGAGCCCATCTGCTCGGACCCCGTCTAGCAACCCTGACGCTCAAAGGAGGTATACTGAAAGTGGCCCCGGGCGGTGGAATCTGACTGGGGCGGGGAGGGCATGGTATGCAACAAAAGTCTCGAGGGTCATGTTGGAGGCCTAGAGATTGGCACCAACACCAACACAGGAAGTTGCCTTCACATGGGGGAGATGATCCTAGATTTCGTTGTTGGTGGCAATATTTCGGTCACCTTGGAAGCCAGAATATGATCACCATCACCGAGATCGGGATCCTCTTCCCTCGGTGGAGGCACACCGCCGATCTTGGTGTTGGTGTCAACCTCTGGGCCTGCGATCATGGATACCCTCGCGCCCTCCCGACAGGCGGGATGCGGAGGGCTCCTGCCGTGGCGGCGGTGGGCTCCCGGGATCCCGTCGCCGACCGCGGACCGCTCGGACGGAGCTCGGCCACAAGAGGCCTGCCGCAACAAAAACAGGGCGCCCATTGGTTTTGGGTGTGGCAACGTCACGTGCTCCAAAGCTGAAGGGGCCCTGGGACACACACATAAATGCACACAAATAACAGGATTCCCCACGTTTTCTCATGTTTTCTGGGCTGTTGTCTTCCCCCCCACTTCCCATATTTTCCCATATTTTCCTGGGAGTCGACGATTAATTGTGTCTGTGTGTTGCTGTTTCTTTCCCTCCTGAAAAGCAAAGCCATCGAAACCCAAGAAACCCAGGGCACCCTGGAGGCAAGCAAGATGTTTCTCGGCATGGGCGTCCAGTGCACATACCGCTGCCTTTCGCCCGTGTTCCCCTTTTTGGGCCTCCTCGGAGGCCCTCTTCGCCATCGCTGGATTCGCCTCGAAGTTCTGGTCAGAACGCACCCCGGGAGAAGTCCGGGGAGTAGCGGTATCGGTACCTTTGTCGTCCCCCCAGACGCCAGGCAACATCAAGGCGTGCCACCAGGGGGGTCGCCACCGCCCCAGGGAATCGGGCTCCCCTGGGCCCCCCAGAGCCCCCGGAGCGGCCCCCCCAAAAACCCCATGGGCGCCCAGGAGCGGTCCAAGCCTCCTCGATCCTCGATCCCCCCTCCTCCTCGATCGTCGATGTCGCCTCGGCTGTAAGCGCAGCTACCTCCCGCGAGGCAGTCTGGGATGGCCCCGCACTGGCCCACGAGATTTGGAGGAGGACGACGACGAGGACACGAGCACAGAGGGGGAAACGAACGACGCGGCGACGGGGGATAGGACACCCGTGGTTGCCAGGGCGGCGACGCGCGCTGGGCTGAGGAGGCGTTCTCCCCAGTAGGAGGTGGTGCGACCTCGATCCTCGATTTCCAAGATCGGGAAGACGTGCGACTCGGGTTCGGTGACTCGGGTTGGCCTGACGGGGCCGTCAGGAAAATGACGAGCTCGAGCCTGAACGTTGACGCGAGCTCCCGCTGCAGGCATCCAACGAACCTTGATTTCCATATAGAATATCTCCTCGCGGCCATACTTGGTTGATGAATCCTCCGCGCTGTGATCTGATCACAACGAAATTCACCAACAGTATCACCTAATCCTCTGAGCCGCAAGCGTCAAGCGGAAAGTTATATGCGTTCAGCGAACAACGTTGAGACTGGATCACCAAAGTCCAAAAACGCCGGCAAGCCCAGGCTCTGGCGAGCTCGAGCCGTTCGCTTCCCCCCGACAGGAGGAGGTGGTGCACCCCCCTTCGCAGGCGAGCCCGGCATCGATAAGTGATGAGTCGGATCGGCTATCGAAACGAATCGGATCGGCGGAAATCGGCAGCCAAGACGGGAGGAGTTGAACTGGCGGAGATCGGCAGGCTTGTAAGGTATCCATGCAGAAATTGGGACCGAGAACTCGGGATCCGAAAGGCCGAAGACGAAGACCGAAACGGGATCGGAGACCCTCGAAATCGAAGCGATCCGAATCGGCAGAGTCGACATGAGCCCTGCCTCGGTGGTGACCCAGGAGTGGTCTCGGTACCTCTTCTCCCTCTAAAAGGACGAGGAGGAGGAGGAGAAGGAGGAGGAGGAGGAGGTGAAGGAGGAGGCGACCGACGACGACGACGACGACGACGACGAGGACGGGGACGGGGACGAGGACGAGGACGAGGACGACGACGACGACGACGACGACGACGACGCCCCTCGACACTGCCCGAGGCGTCGGGCGAGAGACCCGATAGGCGGGCACGCACGGCCGCCTCGGGGGAGGGCTTCCGAGGAGGTCGAAGGGCGGGCCCTCCTGGGCACGGGGGCTCCGCGGCTCTTCCCGGAGAGCGCAGCCTGCTCCGCGCCCGTGGTTGGCGAAGGAGCGAAGGACCTCCTCCTCCTCCTCCTCCTCCTCCTCCTCCTCCTCCTCCTCCTCCTCCTCCTCGCACGCACGCACACTGAAGGCATGAAAGATTCGTTGCCTATCCCAGAAGCCAAAAAGAGGGACGAGAGAAGGGGCAGAAAAGGAAGAGATCAGTCAGCGTTGGGCCGGCTCCTGTTGTACAGAGCACAGTCGGCTCCACGCTCGACTTGGTGGTAGGGGTCAAGGGGTACCACAAAGGGGGCTAAATCAGAGTCCACATCTTCCCCTTCCCCTAGCCCAGACAGCTGAGCCAACCTCGATTTGGCCGCCTCGATGATAGCACTCCCGAGGCCCTTGCACAGGCCTGGAGGGTACTCTTTGGCCAATGTGGTCGCCCATGATCCATCGGCATATCGGCCCTCGAGAGTGACATGCTCGTGCCGGCCATCACACTGGCCTCCACCATAGTCCTGAAGCGCCCCGTACATAGCTTCCCCATGGATCGTAAGAAAGGTAGTTGGTTTAAGAGAGGCAGCCCCAAACATACACTGATGAATGTGGAAAAATCGAGCGTTCGGCTTGCCCTCAAAGATACTGAGTTGAGGGAGAAGCCATGAAGACGGGGCGTACGATCTGCTCTGGAGTCTGCTGGGGTGCTCCATGATAGCCGTCACATCATACTTGTAGCACACGTGGAGGAGATAAATGGTGGTCCTCAACAGGTCGTTGCCTCCTCCTCCTCCTCCTCCTCCTCGTCCTCCTCCTCCTCCTCCTCCTCC